TAGTTTTCAGAACACAGGTCTTTCACTTCTTTGGTTAGGTGTATTCCTAGATATCTTTGTGTGTGTGTGTGTGTGTAATTGTAAATGGGATTGATTCTTTAATTTCTCTTTCTGCTGCTTCATTATTGGTCTATAGATGCAACAGATTTCTGTACATTGATTTTGTATCCTGCGACTTTACTGAATATGTGTATCAGTTCTAGCAGTTTTTGAGTGGAGTCTTTTGGGTTTTCTGTGTAGATACTATGTCATCTGCAAATAGTGAAAGTTTTACTTCTTCCATGTTGATTTGTATGCCTTTTATTTCTTTTTGTTGTCTGATTGCTGTGGCTAGGACTTCCAGCACTATGCTGAATAACAGTGGTGAGAATGGACATCCTTGTCTTGTTCCTTATCATAGAGGAAAAGCTCTCAGTTTCTCCCCACTGACAATATTAGCTGTGGGTTTTTCATATACGACCTTTATTATATTGAGGTATGTTTTCTCTAAACCTACTTTGTTGAGGGTTTTTATCATGAATGGATGTTGTACTTTGTCAAATGCTTTTTCTGTGTCTAATGAAATGTTCATGGTTCTTATCCTTTTATTAGTTTGGTGTATCACCTTGATTGGTTTGCGAATATTGAACCACACTTGCAACCCAGGAATAAATCCCACTTGATTGTGGTGAATGATTTTTTTAAATGTATTGTTGGATTTGGTTTGCTAGCATTTTACTGAGGATTTTTGCGTCTGTGTTCATCAGGGATATTGGCGTGATGTTCTCTCTCTCTCTCTCTCTTTTTTTGGTAGTGTCTTTGCAAAGTTTTGGTATCGGGGTAATGCTGGCCTCATAGAATGAATTTGGAAGTTTTTCTTCCTTTTCTATTTTTTTTTTTTGGAATAATTTGAGAAGATAGGTATTAACTCTTCTTTAAATGTTTGATAGAATTCACCTATGCAGCCATCTGGTCTTGGACTTTTGTTTGTTGGGAGCTTTTTGATTACTGATTCAACGTCTTTGCTAGTTATTAGTCTGTGCAAGTTTTCTATTTCTTCCTGATTCAGTGCTGGTAGTCTATATGCTTCTAGGAATTTATCCATTTCTTCCAGGTTATCCAATTTGTTGGCATATAGTTTTTCATAATATTCTCTTACAATTGTTTGTATTCTTCTGGTGTTGGTTATTACTTTTCCTCTTTCATTTGTGATTTTATTTATTTGGGTCCTTTCTCTTTTCTTTTTGATAGGTCTGGCTAGAGGTTTATCAATTTAATTAATTTTTTCAAAGAACAAGCTGTTCTATTATTTTTTTAGTTTCTATATCATTTATTTCTGCTCTGCTCTTTATTATTTCCTTCCTTCTGCTGCCTTTAGCAACATTTGTTGTTCTTTTTCTAGCTCCTTTACATGTAAAGTTAGTTTGTTTGAGATGTTTTTTGCTTCTTGATGAAGGCCTGTATTGCTGTATACTTCCGTCTTAGGACCCGTTTTGCTGCATCCCAAAGGTTTTGAACCATTGCGTTTTCATTTTCATTTATTTCCATGTATTTTAAAAAATTTCTTCTTTGATTTCCTGGTTGACCCATTTACTATTTAGTAGCATGTTGTTTAACCTCCTAGTATTTGTGGTCTTTCCAGATTTTTTCTTGTGGTTGACTTCTAGTTTCTCTCTTCTAGTTTCTCTTGTGGTCAGAAAAGATTCATGGCATGACTTAGATCTTTTTGTTTTTGTTAAGGCCTGTTTGTGTCCTAAGATGTGATCTGTTCTGGAGGGATCTGTTCAAATGTCCCATGGGCATTTGAAAAGAATGTGTATTCTGGGGACGCCCGGGTGGCTCAGTCAGTTAAGCGTCTGCCTTCAGCTCAGGTCATGATCCCGGATTCCAGGATCGAGTCCCGCATTGGGCTCCCTGCTCAGCGGGGAGTCTACTTCTCCCTCTGGCCCTCCCCCATCTCATGCTCTCTCTCTTTCTCACTCTCAAATAAATAATTTTTTTTTTAAAGAATGAAACAAAGGATATCCAAAAGGATAACTAAAAGAATATCCACCCATAAATCTTACAACTTAGATGAATTGAACTGCTTCCTTGAAAAACACAAACTACCAAAACCCACCCAGTATGGAGTAATTTGAACAGCTCTATAACTATTAAGGAAGTCTAATTTGCAACCTAAAAATTCCTACAGAAGAACTCTATGCTATCTTTATTTCTCCTTTCTTCTGTAATGGATAGTTTTCCTGGATATAGAATTCTTAGTTGACACATGTCCTCTTGCTGTCTCTGATTTCTGTTGTTTCTGATGAGAAGTTAGCTATTAATTGTATTGTTCTATATGCAATGCTGGTTTCAAGATTTTCCCTTTGCCTTTGGATTTCAACAGTTTAACTATGATGTGTATAGGTGTGAGTCTCTAAGAAGCACATTGTGCTTCTTAGGTATGTAAATTAACATTTTTTATCAAATTTAGGAAGGTTTTGGCCATCATTTCTTCAAATATATTTTTTCTGCACATCTCTGTTTCTTCTACTTCTAGAGCTCCATTACATATATTTTGGTGCATTTGATGTTGTTTCACACTTTTCTGTGGCACTGTTCATCTTTTAAAAAGATTTTATTTATTTGAGAGACAGAGAACATGAGGGAGGGGCAGATGGAAAGAGAGAAGCAGGCTCCCCACTGAGCAGGGAGCCCAACATGGGCCTAGAACCCTAGGATGATGACCTGAGCCAAAGGCCAATGCTTAACCAAATGAGCCACCCAGGGGCCCTGGCACTGTCCATTTAAAAAAAAAAAAAAATCATTTTCTCTCTGCTTGTCTTATTGGAAGATTTCCATTGAGCTGTCTTCAAGTTTATTTATTCTTTCTTTCGCCATCACAAATCTTTTCTTGAGACTTGCTGGCAAAATTTTCATTTCAGTTATTGTAATTTTTCATCTCAGAATTTCCACTGTGTTGTTTTTAAAAGCAATTTCTTTCTCTTAATGATATTCTCTACTTGAGCACTGTCATCATTTATTCCTTTAATTATTTAGATGTGGTTTCCTTTATTTCTTTGAAATATATATATTTAAAATAGTTTTCTTGTACATCTTTGTCTGCCAATTCCATTGTCTGAGATTAGTCAGAGATAGTTTCTACTGACTGCTTTATTTCCTAAGTATTATTCACACTCTTTCTTTACATATCTGGTAATTCTTTTGTATAAAAGTTGGCATTTTAGAAAACATTTTGCAGGAACTGTGGATTCTTGTTCGTTCCCCTGAGAGTTATTGTTGTTGTTGTTTGTTTTTTGTGTAGTAAACTAGTCTGGACTAATTCCGTGGTGTTCATCTTTCTGACAATGTGCAGCTGTGGGTGTCTATGCTCACTTTATTTATTTGTTTGTTTGTTTATTTTTTGTAAGCCTGGCTTTCTAGAAGTTGCTTCTGCTTCAGCATATCTTAGTTGTCAGCCAAAGATTAGTCAGAGGTTCTGTTCAAACACCTTGAGCCAATAAGGTTCCCACTCGTTGCTAATATATCTATGCGTAGTTTGGGGAATGTATTCAAAGTTCAGGCCATTTTCAAGTCCCCTTTAGCTTTTATTTCTCTTGGGCCATCTCACGTTTCCACATGTGTGGACACTCTTACGGTCATCCAAGAATGTATAGATGGCTTAAATTCCCTCTGGTTTCTCCTGCACATGTTGCAGCCTTCCAGTAAGCCTGGGGCATGTGGAGAGCTCATTAAGGTTCTCCATTTGTATCCTTGTTAAATTTCTGACTAGTCTTTTGGTCCTTTGCTTTCCCTAGCCAAGACTGAAGCCTCAGAGTAGTTGGTTCACTGGTATTCCCTCCACCCTTTTTTGCTACCTAGATGCTAGATGCTACTCTTCCTGATAACATTGTTGGGTGTAGGTTTTTGTTTGTTTTTGCATTCTGCTCCAAAGAAAGTAAGTCTCCCTCACAGTGAGTCTTGGTTTTCAGGGCTTGCCCCACCCTTATAAAACTGAAACTGACCCAGCTGGGTGGGGAAGTAGGAGCAGTCCCAGTAATAAGGCCACATACTGCATCATTCAGTAGTTTTTCATGACTAAATTCTAAGTTTGTTGTCTTTTTGTCAATTTTTGGAGTCCTGAAATCATTGATTTTTGACAATTTTTCTCCAGTTTTATTGTTTTGTTTTATTTTTGGAGAAGAAGATTTTCTGAGCTCCTAACTTTCCCATGTTGGAATCCCCATCTTCCTAAGAATCTTAATTCTTAGCACTATGAAAGATGTTCTTTTGAAGAAACAATGTTTTCATTCAAATTAGCATCCCAGCAATCAGTTCTGGAAAGATGCTCAAGGGTAGCTCTATGTTGGCTCCAGATAGCTGTCTTGATTAACTGAACATTTTTGTATTGCAAATGCTAGTTTCCTTTTACATGGAACTGCTGGAATAAGCCAGCTGTTTCTCTCATCAACATAGCAAATAAAGCCTTTCCCTCTCAACACTGTTGAGTTATTAGTATCACTTGTCCAGTATTTTACTAGTCACAAAGTCATTCCATAATCCTTCCCTCATTTCCCTCTTTTTTTTCTTTTTTAAGATTTTTTTATTAACAGAGACAGAGATAGCGAAAGCAGGAACACAAGCAGTGGGAGGGGGAGAAGGAGAGCAGGCTTCCCACCAAGGAGGGACCCTGATGTGGGGCTCGATCCCAGGACCCTGGAATCATGACCTGAGCCGAAGGCAGACATTTAATGACTGAGCCATCCAGGCGCCCTCATTTCCCTCTTTTTTTTTTTTTTTTAGATTTTATTTATTTATTCACGAGAGACAGAGAGAGAGAGAGAGAGAGAGAAGCAGAGGGAGAAACAGGCTCCCAAGGAGCAGAGAGCCCGATGCGGGACTCGATCCCAGGACCCTGGGATCATGACCTGAGCCGAAGGCAGACACTTAACCATCTGAGCCACCCAGGCACCCCTCCCTCTTTTTATACCTAGCACCATAGCACTAGAAGGGCCGTTATTAACACTGTTCCTCTGTTTTAGATTGCAGAAGATATTGCTAAGAGCTCAGGCTTTGGAACAGCCTGGAATTCAGTCTGAATTCAGAGCCAGCAACTAAGAGTTTTGTGATCTCAGGTGAGCAACTTTGACTTCCTAAGCTCCAGCATCATGATGACAATATGCACCTCAAACATGGTTATGTAGGTGATGGAAAATTATGCATGTAACACTCTTAGCATTTTGTTCAATAAGTAGTAGACATCATTACAGATGAGGAATCAATCCCAAAGGAATGAGATGATTTATATGAGGTCATATAACTAGTGAGAGGCAGAGATAGGACTCCAGTGCTTTCCACACAATTATTTTGAGTTGGGCAAGTAATCCATTTCACAGAAGAGGTAAAGTGAGGCATGAAGAAGCTACTTGTTCTTTTTACCCAGTAATTCTGGAATGTACCATAACCTCTTGAGACTGGAGCTCTGCTTTTTTGAATCCATGTACACATTTGCAGGATGGTGCCCAAGGAAGAAGTAATGATATGGAAATGATCTTACAAATAAAACTAAGACATCATTTTGACTTGGTCACAGATTGGGTGAATTCCCCAGAAAGCAGACTCTGAGGTAGAGGCTAGTTTGCAGAACATTTATTATTTATGCTTTCAGGATCAACATTTTAAAAGAGGGGAAGGAAGCAGGACTGGGCAGAGACATTGAGTAGGGAAGTTTAACAATGACTACAGCCAGCCACATACATTAGGGTCTGTGGAACTCAGATGGCCTTTCAGAGTTGCCCTGACTTGGGATAAGAGAGTTGGGTTTTAGGCTCACATGTTGATCAGTTATTGGATGCTGGGACCAATCTGTAAAGGCACCTAGTATGAACTGACTGTCTGCAGCCAAGGCAATCTCCAAAACGGTCTGGGACTGAGGGTTGCCTGCCAATTGTACCTCCAGCAGCTGGGATAATGATTCTTCATTCCTGAAGAGGGATCTAGGTGGCACATTCTAGCATCCACCACAGACCTGAAGTTAAGAAAAGCAGAGGAAGGTTATGTGTGGATAGAGACCATGTGCACAGGATGATCATCCAGTGGCTGTAAAGGTGGCCAACAGGGCATCAGAGATGGAGTATCAGCTCTGACCTGATCTCAGGAGATTCATGTGTACCCTGACCTTTCATTATATGAGTTGTTCATGAAATGTGGCTAGGGAAGTTGATGAATTGGAAGTACCAAACACCATGAAAGATTGGCGAGCAACGAGGAGGGATTGTTTAAATCTGAACACAACATAGTCCAATCCAGAGTTTCTTTATTCCAGCCATGAAGACAGGTGAAATTTTCCAGGAGGTGTCTTCTATGGAGAAATTGAACCAGAGAGGTCTGACTTCCAGGCATGAGGTTGGAGTAATATACTGGAATGTTGGGTGAGAGTTTGAATATTGAAACCCTTAGCCCCTTTATTTTCACAGAACTCCTATTGATGGAGAATTCTCATTTCATTCCTATCCCTTTAAGGCAGGGGATTGTAGAAACACCTGCCCCAGAGAAAAGATCTCCAAATACTGACATTTGGGAGAACCCTAACTAAGAAGATGGTACATTACCTGATCAGTTGACAAACAGCAGTTTTCAAAGTGTGGTCCATGGACCTCCTAGGGGACCCCAAGATTCTTTAGAGGATCCAAAGATTAAGTTATTTTTATAATTTATTATTTGTATAGTATATTTCAGATGCTGTTTGCCTTTTTAAATGTGTTAACCTTCACACAGATGGTACAAAGCAATAAGCAAAACTATTGATCCATTTAGCATGAATCAAGGTAGTGGCACCGAACTGTACTAGTAGTCATTCTTTACTGCCACACACTTAAAAGGGTTTTTCTAAAAAAAGCCAGTGTCACTTAAGATTTCTGTTGATGAAATAAAATTTATTAATTCTATTTAAATCTTGATCCTTGAATACATGACTTTTTAATACTCTGTGTGACAAAATGGGAAGCAGCAGAAAGCATTTTTGAGCAATTATTTGTGTTTGTGATTGAAGTAGCTGATTTTGTCTCATAGGAAAACCATTTCTTCCTTGAAAAACTACTGACAGATAAAAATATGAATACTCAGATTTGGGTATTTGGCAGACAATTTCTCAAAAATGAGTAAGATGAGACTGTCATCTCTGACACTCTATGTTCCTAATACAATTTCATCTTTCAAGCAAAATTTAGAATTATGGAGATTTAAAAAAAAGAATTGTGGAAATTCGTAAATGTGTGAGAGTTTGGCACTTTCCCAATATTTAGATATGTTTCTTATTAGGTCATTGGTGATATTAATGATATTTTTTGATATTATATAATGAAATGTGTTAACATTTGAAAGACCTACATATCTCAGTAAACCAGTATTTTCCAAATAACCAATGCATGATGTAATAAAATCATGTATAAAAGATCTATTCAAAGTGTAAAAATAGGCTAATGGATTTTAAAATTATTATTGAAGTATAATTGACATACAGTGTTGTATTAGTTTCAGGTATAAAACATACTGACTTGACAATTTATACATTACTCCCTCACCATGATAGATATAGATATTGGTCACCTTACAAAGTTATTACTGTATTATTGACTGTGTTCTCTCTGGTGTACTTTTCATCTCCGTGATTTTTCATCTCTGTATTTTATAACTGGAAGTTTGTACTTCTTAATCCTCTTTATCTGTTTGACCCACCCCTACCCGCCCCTCTGGAAACCACTAGTTTCTTCTCTGTATTTAAAAGTCTGTGTGTTTGTTCATTTGTTTTGGTTTTTAGATTTCACTGTTAGTGAAATCATATGGTATTTGTCTTTTTCTGTCTGATTTATTTCACTTAGCATAATACCCTCTAGGTCCATCCATGTTATTGCTAATGGCAATATCTCGTTATTATTTTTTTTTTAAAGATTTTATTTATTTATTTGACAGAGAAAGACACAGCGAGAGAGGGAACACAAACGGGGAGTGGGAGAGGGAGAAGCAGACTCCCCGCCGAGCAGGGAGCCCAATGCGGGACTCGATCCCGGGACTCCAGGATCATGACCCGAGCCGAAGGCAGTCGCTTAACCAACTGAGCCACCCAGGCACCCAATATCTCGTTATTTTTATGGTTGAGTAATATTCCATTGTATATATACCACATTTTCTTTATCCATTCACCTACTGATGGACACTTGGGCTGCTTCTTTTTCTTGGCTATTGTAAATCATGTTGCAATAAACATAGGGGTGCATGTATTTTTCAAATTAGTCTTTTCATTTTCTTTGGGTAAATACATAGTAGTGGAATTGCTAGATTATATGATATTTCTATTTTTAATTTTTTGAGAAACTTACATACTGTTTTCCACAGTGGCTGCACCAGTTTGCACTCCCATCAACAGTGCCCATGGGTTCCTTTTTCTCCACATCCTCATCAACACGTTTTTTTGTCTTTTTGATTTTAGCCATTCTGACCAGTGTGAGTTGATAGCTCATTATGGTTTTGATTTGCATTTCCCTGATGACGAGTGATGTTGAGCATCTTTTAATGTGTCTATTGGCCTTCTGTATGCTTCTCTGGAAAAATGTCAGTTTAGATCCTCTGCCTATTTTAAGATTGGGTTGTTTGTGTGTTTTGTTTTTTTGTTGTTGTTGAGTTGTATGAATTCTTTACATATTTTGGATACTAACCCCTTTTGAGTATATCATTTGCAAATATCTTTCAGTAGTTTGCCTTTTTGATTTATTGATGGTTTCCTTTTCTGTGCAAAAGTGTTTTATTTTGGTGTAGTTCCAATAGTTTATTTTGATTTTTTTCCCCCTTGCCTGAGGAGACATATCCATAAATATATTGCTAAGACTGATGTTCAAGAGATTACTGTCTATGTTTTCTTTTAGGAGTTTTTTTGGTTTCAGGTCTCACATCTATGTCTTTAATCCATTTTGAGTTTATTTTTATGTATGGTGTAAGAAAGTGGTCCAGTTTCATTCTTTTGCATGCAGCTGTCCAGTTTTCCCAGCACCATTTGTTGAAGAGACTGTCTTTTTTTTCCATTGCATATTCTTACCTCTTTTGTCTAGATTAATTGACCATATAAGTGTGGGTTTATTTCTGGGTTTTCTATTCTATTCTATTGATTTATGTGTCCATTTTTGTGCCAGTACCATATTGTTTTGATTACTATTAGCCTAATGGATTTTAATGTAAACAATATGAGAATTTATTGATAGGTATTCAGATTCCACATTGCATTCCTCTAAGAAACCACCAGTTGTTGAATTTCAGCATAGTATCAAAGTAGAATACCCATAATTACCTTTAAAAACTATTAAAACAACTCCCGCATTCCAACTACATATTGGTATGAGGCTAGATTTTGATCATATACTTCAACAAAAAAAGTGTTATCACCACAAACCAAAGAAGTAGATATGAGAATGTACTTGTCTTCTTTTAAGTCCGATATTAAAGAGAGATTTGCAAATGTAAAACAATGCCACTCTTTCACCATTTTTTTGTTTTGAAAGAATAGTTATTTTTCATAAAATCTACTTTAACATGTAATGTGCTTATTATTATTTTACAGTAATTATTTTACAATTTTCTCAGTCTTAATTTTTAATGTGTAAATAGTGATAGACTTAACCCATTTAAACAGAAATTCTTTGGTATCTTCAATAATTTTTTAAGTGTCTAGAGGAGTCCTGAAACCAAAAAAGTTTGGAGCCGCTACTCTGGAGATCACCATATACATATGTAACTTATCGCTGTCTACCTTTAAAATATAATATGTTGTTTCATGGGCAATATGGGAACTTTATACAGGGTATTTCTAACTGGCACCCTCCCATACTCTGTGTCTTTGTTGTCATATATGTTACTTCACTATAGACTAAAATCCTCATGTTATGTTGCTATTTTCACTTATACAGTTTAGGAATCCATAGACTAGGTGTGCTGCTCAGATCTGCCTTTAAGAAAACACTCACTGTTCAGCTGTGAGAAGTGCAATTATTTGAGAGCCTCTGGTTAAAGAACATCCAGGACCTGCCTCAGCTTTAGAACTGAGGTCATGGTTCCTTAGGCAGCCTGCAGCTGATGAATAAGCATGGTGGGCTGGCCAGGACTTGACCATTCCAGCACAGTGCATGGCTTCTCTGGTGGGTTTGCTTTGCTATGGAGCTCCCTATTAGACTGGCTAAAATTTCAAAAGAACTTCCTGCCAAATCCTGCTCCCTTTCCCATTCCTTTCTCAGATGTTCAACTTACATTGTGGTCTAAAGGCTTCACCTGCCAAATTCTGAGCCCTCTTATCTTTCAAAGACATCACCCTCAATAAACCTCTTGCACTCCTAACTATCTTGTCATTAACTTTCTGGAAGATCCAGCTGACACAATGGTATGTCTTTCAAAAAGATATTACTTTGTCTGGTGTTTCATTTCTCCCTGTAGAACTGAGTTTCTCTCTGGTATCCTTTCTTTTTTACCCTAAAGGACTTTTCACATCTTGTATAGGTCTGGTGTACTAGAGACAAAATCTTTCAGCCTTTGTCTGATAGTATCTTTATTTTGCCTTCATTTTTGAAGAGTATTTTCACTGGATATGGAATTGTAAGCTGACAGTCTGTCTTTCATCTCTTCAAAGATGTGCTTCCATTGTCTTCTGGCTGTCATTGCTTCTGATGAGATGTCAGTTATTTTTCTTCTCACCGTTCCTGTACATGTATTATGTCTTTTATTTTTTTTCCCTGGCCGCTTTCACAATTTTGTTATCTTTTGATTTTAGCAGTTTGACTAGACTGTGACTATATGTGGACTTCTTTGCATTTATCTGTTTGTGTTTCATAGGTCATGTTGGATTCATGGGTGGCTATATTTCACTAATTTTGTTAAATCTTGGCCATCATATCTTCAAATATTTCATCTGTCCCATTCTTTTTCTTGTACTTCAACAACACATAGGTTAGACTGATATTGTGTCACATGCTTCAGAGGCTGTATTCCATTTTTAAAAAACAGCTTTATTGAATAATAATTGACATGTAATAAATGACACATATTTTAAACTTTTTTTATTTAAGTTCAATTTAATTAACATATACTATATTATTAGTTTCAGAGGTAGAATTTAGTGATTCATCAGTTGCATATAACACCCAGGGCTCATTACATCAAGTGTCTTCCTTATTGCCCATCACCCAGTTGCCCCATTCCCCCACCCACCACTCCTCCAACCCTCAGTTTGTCTCCTAGAGTTAAGAATCTCTTATGGTTTGCCTCCCTCTCTGTTTTTGTCTTATTTTTCCTTCCCTTCCCCTATGTTCATCTGTTTTGCTTCTTAAATTCCACATATGAGTGAAATCATATGGTATTTGTCTTCCTCTGACTGACTTATTTCATTTAGCATAAATAACACATATTTAAAACATACACTTTAAATTTGATAAAGTATACATTAAAATTTGATATAAAATTTAAAATTTAGTAAGTTTTTACATATGTATGCCATACATAAAACCATCACTCCATCATCTCCAAATGTTTCCTCATGCCCCCTCAATTTTAGCCATTCCAATAAGTGTGTGGTGGTATTTATTGTGGTTTTCATTTGTATTTCCCTAATGACTAATGATCTTGAGTTTCTAATTCATGTGCTTATTTGTTATCTGTACATCTTCTTTGGTAGAATTTCTGTTCAAACTTTTGCCCATTTTAAGAAATGAGTCATATGAGTCCTTTTTAATTGAGTTTTGAGTGTTCTTTCTACATTTGGATATGAGTTCTTTTTCAGATATTTGATTTGCAAATACATTTTTTTTCCCAGCCAGTGGTTTCTTTCCTATTTTTCTTAACAAGGTCTTTTGAAGATCAGAAGTTTTTTATTTTGATGAAGACCAATTTATTAATTGGTTTTCTTATGGATCATGCTTTTGATGTTGTATCTAAGAAATCTTTGCCTAACCTAAGGTCATAATGATTTTCTCTTGTGTTTTATTTATAAGGTTTTGTTGTTGTTGTTCCTTAAGCTTTTTGTTTTAAGATAATTGTAGATTCACATGCAACTTCAGAAATAATACAGAGGGATCACAAATACTCTTCACCCATTTTCCACAGTGGTAACATCTTACATAATTGCACTACAATGTCACATCCAAGAAATTAACATCAGTACAACCCATCAGCCTTGTTTAGATTTCATGTTTTCCAGGCCCTCATTTGTGTGTGTGTACATGTGTGTGTGTAGTTTTATGTGATTTTATCACATGTGTAGATACATGTGACTAGCACCACAGTCAAGATACAGAAGAGTTTCATCATAAGGATCACTGTCCTTTTATAGCCACAGCTACCTTTCTTCCTCCCTCTTCCTCATCCCTGATAATCATTAATGTGATCTCCATTTCTATAATTTTAGCATTTCCAGAATGTTATGTAAGTGAAATTATTTTTTAAAAATATCTAAAAATAGGGGCACCTGGGTGGTTCAGTCCTTAAGTGTCTGCCTTCGGCTCAGGTCGTGATCCCGGAGTCCTGGGATCGAGCCCCACATCAGGCTCCCTGCTCAGCCAGGAGCCTGCTTCTCCCTCTCCCACTCCCCCTGCTTGTGTTCCCTCTCTCGCTGGGTATCTCTCTCTCAAATAAATAAATAAAATCTTTAAAAAATATATTTTAAAATAAATAAATAAAATATTTAATTATTTCAGTGAGAGAGAGAGAGTGCATGAGCAGGGGAAGGAGCAGAGGGAGAGAGAGAGGGGGGAGGCAGACTCCCCATTTAGTGTGGAGCCCGTCCCAGGGCTCAATCTCAGAACCCTGAGATCATGATCTGAGCTGAAACCAAGAGTTGGATGCTCAACCAACTGAGCCACCCTGGTGCCCCTAAGTGAAATTATTTGTATGTTACCATTTGAGGTTGGCTTTTTTCACTTAGCATAATTCCCTTGTATCCATCCAAGCTGCTGTGTTACTATTGATGGCTGAGTAGCATTCACTCATTGTTCCTAGTTTTTGGCCATTAAAAATAAAGCTGCTGTGAACATTTATGCACATGTTTTTGTATGAGTATAATTTTTTGTTTCTTTGTGATAAATACTACAGAGCATGATTTCTGGGCCATATGGTAGGGACATACTTAGTTTTATAAGAAACTGCCATATTCTGGGTGCCTGGGTGGCTCAGTTGGTTAAGTGACTGCCTTCAGCTCAGGTCATGATCCTGGAGTCCCGGGATCGAGTCCTGCATCAGGCTCCCTGCTCAGCAGGGAGTCTGCTTCTCCCTCTGACCCTTCCCCCTCTCATGCTCTCTCTCTGTCTCATTCTTTCTCTCTCAAATAAATAAATAAAATCTTAAAAAAAAAAACAAACACTGCCATATTCTTTTCCAGAGTAATTGTATCATTTTACATTCCCAATAGCAATGTATGAGCAATCCAGTTTTTTCACATCCTCCCCAGCATTTGGTGTTAACACTACTTTTATTTTGCCTGTTTTGATAAGTGTATAGTGATACCTCATTGTAGTTTTAATTTGTATTTCCCTAATGGCTAATGATATTGACCATCTTCTCGTGCTTATTTGTCATCTGTATATCTTCTTCAGTGAAATGTTTTTTTTCTTTTTTTCTTTTTGACCTTTTTATTTTTATTTTTTTTTTTTAAAATATCTTCTTTTTTTTTTTTTAAAGATTTTATTTATTTATTTGAGAGAGAGAATGAGACAGAGAGCACGAGAGGGGGGAGGGTCAGAGGGAGAAGCAGGCTCCCCGCTGAGCAGGGAGCCCGATGCGGGACTCGATCCCGGGACTCCAGGATCATGACCTGAGCCGAAGGCAGTCGCTTAACCAACTGAGCCACCCAGGCGCCCTCTTTTTGACCTTTTTAAAAATTGGGTTGTTTGATTTTTTTTTGCTTTTGAGTTTTGAGATATTCTAGATACAAGTCTTTTGTTGAATTTGTAGTTTGAAACTATTTTCTCCCAGCTGGTAGCTTGCTTTTTTATTCTCTTTTACAGAGTGAAAGTTTAAAATTTTGATTGTGTTCAATTTATGAAAGTTCCTTTTTATGAATCATGCTTTTTGTGTCAAGGCTAAGAATTCTAGGCCTAATCCTCCTTGTCTTAGGTCTCAAAGCCTTTTTTCCTTTTTTTGGCTTCAGGTGTAGAATTTAGTGACTCATCACCTACATACAACACCCAGTGCTCATCACAAGTGCCCTCCTCAATACCCATCACTCAGCCCCTCCCCCACCCACCTTCCTCCACAACCCCCAGTTTGTTCTCCACAGTCAAGAGTTTCCTATGGTTTGCCCCCCCCACCTCTCTCTGTCTCCCCCTCTTTTGGTAGAAGTTTTATGCATTACATTTAAGTCTGTGATCCATTTTGAGTTAGTTTTTATATAAGGTGTAAGGGTTAGTTTGAGATTCATTCCCTCCCTCCCCAGGAATGTCCAATTGCTCCAGCACTGTTTGCCAAAAAAGCAAATCTTCCATCGCAATACTTTTGCACCTTTGTAAAAAATCAGTTGGGTATTTCAAATAGATCTATTTTGGGATCTCTAGTCTCTTCTGTTGATCTATGCATCTAACCTGCTGCCAGCCCCACACTGTCTTGATTACTGTAACTATATAGTAAGTTCCCACTTTCTTATTCTTTTTAATTGTTTTAGCTATTTAGGTCCTGTGCCTTTCCATTTAACTTTAGAATAAATTCACAAAACCTTGCTGGGGTTTTGCTAGGAATTGCATTGAACCTAACAATGAATTTAGGTAAAATTGACTTTTTTTTTTTAAAGATTTTATTTATTTATTTGACAGAGAGAGACACAGCGAGAGAGGGAACAGAAGCAGGGGGAGCAGAAGAGGGAGAAGCAGGCTTCCCGCCAAGCAGGGAGCCGGATGCGGGGCTCTATCCCAGGACCCTGGGATCACGACCTGAGCTGAAGACAGATGCTTAACGACTGAGCCACCCAGGCACCCCTAAAATTGACATTTTTACTGTGTTGTTTTCCAGTTCATGGTCACTGTGCGTCTCTTCATTTATAGGAGTTCTTTGATTCTTTTTTATCAGCATATTATAATTTTCATCATACAGATCCTATACATGTTTAATTAGACTTATACCTAATTATTTCTGTTTCTTTGGAAAAATTTTAAATGGTATTGTGATTTTAATTTTGGTTTCCAAATGTGTGTTGTTAGTATATAGAAATGCAATTCATTTTTGTATTTTATTTTGTATCCTATAACTGTGCTGAATTTCTGCTGTACGTTTTATACTTTTGGGTTTTCTGATTAGGTCTATATTCTGAATTAATTTTTAATATGGTGGGAGGTATGGACTGAAGTTCATTTTTTTTTGTTTTGCATATGGGTATATAATTATTCCAGCCCTATTTATTGAAAAGATTATCCTTTATCAACTGAGTTGCCTTTGTATCTTTGTCAAAACCCAGTTTTCTGTATATGTGTGAACCTATTTCTAGACTCTCAATTCTGTCCCATTTACTATTTGCCTATCTTGATGTCAACACCACACTGTCTTGATCGTTGTGGCTTTCTAGTAAGTCTTGAAATTAGATTTTCTTAGTCTTGAAATTACAACTTTGTTCTGTTTTGTTTTTTTTAAGTAGTTTAGATTCTTCTAGATTTTTGCATTTCCATATGAATTTTAGAATCAGCTTGTCAATTCCTAAAAAAAATCTTCTGGTATTTTGGTTGGAGTTTTAGTGAATCAGTAGATCAATTTAGGGAGAATTAACATCTTTTTAAAAAAAATTTTTTTTTAAAGATTTATTTATTTATTTATTTGAAAAAGAGAGAATGAGAGAGAGAGCACATGAGAGGGGGGAGGGTCAGAGGGAAAAAAAATTTTTTTTTAAAGATTTATTTATTTATTTATTTGAAAAAGAGAGAATGAGAGAGAGAGCACATGAGAGGGGGGAGGGTCAGAGGGAGAAGCAGACTCCCTGCTGAGTAGAGAGCCCGATGCGGGACTCGATCCCAGGACTCCAGGATCACGACCTGAGCCTAAGGCAGTGGCTTAACCAACTGAGCCACCCAAGCGCCCGAGAATTAACATCTTAATAACATTGCACCTTCCTATACATGAACAAAGTATTTTTAAAATGTCTTTTTTTTTTTTTTTTTTTTAAGACAGGGAGGCGGGAGGAGAGGGAGAGGGAGAGAGAATCTTTGCACCCAGCATGGAGCCCAACACAGGGCTTGATCTCACAACCGAGATCATGACTTAGAGCCGAAATCAACAGTTGGATGCTTGGGGAACCTGGGTGGCTCAGTCGTTAAGCATCTGCCTTCAGCTCAGGTCATGGTCCCAAGGTCCTGGGATCGAGCCCTGTGCCAGGCTCCCTGCTCCATGGAAGGTCTGCTTTTCCCTCTCCCACTGCCCCTGCTTGTGTTCCCTCTCTTGATGTCTCTCTCTTTCTGTCAAATAAATAAAATCTTTAAAAAAAAAAAAAAAAAGAGTTGGATGCTTAACTGACTGAGCTACCCAGGTGCCCCTTAAAACATCTTTTAAAAGCAATGTTTTGTAGTTCTAGATCTTACAGATATTTTTTCATATTTATCTGTCAGAATTTTGTTTTTGGTGATATTATAAATATTATTGTGATAAACTTAATTTCTTTTTTTTTAAATTTTTTTTTTAAAGATTTTTTTTTATTTATTTGACAGAGGGAGAGACAGCGAGAGAGGGAACACAAGCAGGGGGAGTGGGAGAGGGAGAAGCAGGCTTCCCGCGGAGCAGGGAGCCCGATGTGGGGCTCGATCCCAGGACCCGGGGATCATGACCTGAGCCGAAGGCAGACGCTTAACGACTGAGCCACCCAGGTGCCCTGTGATAAACTTAATTTCTGATCATTCTTTATAAAAATGTTCATTATAAAAACACATTTAAAAGAATCTTTTTTGCAAGTTGCTAAACTTATTAGTTTCCTTGGAATTAATCATTGGATTGTCTACATAGATGGTCATGCCATTTGTGAACAAAGACATTTTTACTTTTTCCTTTCCATTTTGGATACCTTTTATTTATTGTTTTGCACTTATTCCACTGTCCCCCAATTCAGCATTGAACAGAAGTGGTGAGAGTGGACATCCTGGGCACCTTGTCTTGTTTCTGCTGTTAGAAGAGAAAACTTTCATTCAGTATGATATCAACTATAGGTTTCACAGGTTGAGAAAGTTTCCTTCTGTTCATAGTTTGCTGACAGGTTTTACAAATTATGAATGGATTAGACTTTATCAATTACTTTTTCTGTGTCTGCTTAAATGATCTTTTTTTCCCTCTTTCAAGCTTATCAATATGGGGTTTTACATTGACTTTCAAATGTTAAGTGAATGGCATTTCTGGGATAAACCCAATTGTTTTTGATGTATTATTATTCATTAAAAAATCTTCTTAACACTATTTTTCTACTCTTTACTTTTTGTGTTTCAATTTGACTACTTTCTGTTGACTTATCTTGAGTTTATCTATTCTTTGCTGTATCATGCTGGTAAGTCCATTGAAAGATTTTTTTCTTCTCTGATGTATCTTTTATTTCTAGCATTTCTTTTTGAAGAAAAAAAGCTTTCAACTGTATGCCAAAATTCCCCACTGTTCATGTCGTTCTCTCTTTCCACTAGATTCCTTAAAATAGTCAGCTGTTTTTGTTATTTTAGTTTCTGTTTGTTTGTTCCACTATCGGGGCCAATTCTGGGTCAAGAGTCCTTCCTTTGTTGAAGCTGACAGCTGTGGAGGCCACTGCCTCCTATTTCTTGTAAGATCCTGAGTGTCTTACAGTCCCTTCAGTCCTCCCACTGTCCCCCAGACTTCAGCAAATGCTGCCTGCCCCCTTGGCCAATTCTCTTGTCTCCCTGACCTGTCCCCATTCTGTGGACCACCACTGCCCCATACCCAGTGTAATGGCCACAGTTCCTGTGGAGTTCTTCTGTTTTCCTTTTTTGTTCTAGGTTTTTCAGCCATCTGTGAGTGTCTGTGCCTCAGAGGAAGTCTCTTTCAGCTCTGTTGCTCTACCCCCAGTCTTTTTTTTTAATTTAATTTAATTTTATTATATTATGTTAGTCACCATACAATACATCATTAGTTTTTGATGTAGTGACCCATGATTCATTGTTTTTGTATAACACCCAGTGCTCCATGCAGTACGTGCCCTTCTTAATACCCATCACCGGGCTAACCCATCTCCCCACTCCCATCTCCTCTAAAACCCTCAGTTTGTTTCTCAGAGTCCATAGTCTCTCATGGTTCATATCCCCCTCCGATTCCCCCCCTTCATTTTTCCCTTCCTTTTCCTAATGTCCTCCATGCTATTCCTTATGTTCCACAAATAAGTGAAACCATATGATAATTGACTTTCTCTGCTTGACTTATTTCACTTAGCATAATCTCCTCCAGTCCCATCCATGTTGATGTAAAAGTTGGGTATTCATCCTTTCTGATGGCTGAGTAATATTCCATTGTATATATGGACCACATCCTCTGCCCCCAGTCTTTCTCAAGAGCACTCAGTGAAAGCCTGTTGAAAACAGCTGTGCGGGGGCACCTGGGTGGCTCAGTCGTTAAGTGTCTGCCTTCGGCTCAGCTCATGATCCCAGGGTCCTGGGATTGAGCCCCGCATCAGGCTCCCTGCTAGGCGGGAAGCCTGCTTCTCCCTCTCCCACTCCCCCTGCTTGTGTTCCCTCTCTTACTGTGTCTCTGTCAAATAAATAAATAAAATCTTAAAAAAGAAAAAGAAAAAGAAAAAGAAAACAGCTGTGCAGTGGCTGTAAGCTCCCTTTACATCTGGTGCTACTGAAGGTTCTAAATTGTCAAAACAGCCCCCGTTTGGCTTTCAGAAAGTCTTCCTACCCATATCTATGGCACCCTCCTCCTCTTCATGCGGCTCTTGCAATGATAAAATAACTGGGGTACCTTTTCTTTCAAGAGGACTCTGTCACTTTCTATATTTTAACTTAGTAGGTTTCTTGGTGACCTCAGCTTTCTGATGGGCTAAACCATCATTTTGTTGTTGTTATTTCAAATTTTTGTTTAAATTTTAGTTAACATATAGCATAATATTGGTTTTGGGAGTAGAATTTAGTGACTCATCACTTATATATAACACCCAGTACTCATCATAACAAGTGCCCTCCTTAATACCCATCAGCCATTTAGCCATCCCCCCCCAACCTCCCTCCATCAACCCTAAGTTTGCTCTCTATAGTTAAGAGTCTCTTATGGTTTGCTTCCCCCCCTCTCTTTTTTTCCTTTCCCATCATTTTTTTTAAATCTATGATTTTGTAGAGTATTTGGCTTTTGTTGATGTTATTGATCTTAAGGGTAAGAGAGATAGTTCCCCATGACTTTATGTCCTAATCAGGAATGGAAGATCTTGGTGTCTCCTGAGTCCCAGTCTTAATTGATGCTGAGGTCCAGGGACATTGCCACCCCGTCATCCTGCCATCCTTCCCTTTTGCTTAAGCTGAGGAGGGTCTGGTTGACCTCCTCCCCACGAGCCCTGACTGATAGCAGTGGGAAAGGCACTGTGGAACGTTGCGCAGGAGTGGCATGACCCTCTACCAGAAACGCCTCTGCTTCTCTTCTTGCAAAGCAGGGAATTTAAATTCTGCTCACAAATCTCTCAGGAGATTCTTCTGGAATAATGGATGTGAATGAGCTCTATAACATGTACAGTCCACAGACATATATTACTGCTAATGATAAAGTGCTTTTTTCCTGCAGCTTCAATAACTGTGGAGCCTTGGTCTTCTCTCCATTGGTACTTCCATGTTTTGGTTCAGGGCCATCACTTGAAGTTTAGTATCTATAGATGTCCCAGATGAGCACTTTAGGCATCTGTGCTATTCTTATTATGATGTGGCCTATGGATTCCTGCTACCAACCCTTACCAGCTATGTGGTGTTAGAGAAATAGTACAACATCCAAAAGCCCCAGCTTCTTTATTTGTAAGCTGGAGATAAAAATAGCATATAATCCCAGAGTAATAGTAAGAATTAAATACTATGTTTGTGATGTGTATTTGTCACACCAGAAGTGACCTGCCAAGGCCATGTTGTTGGTTTGTATCAGGACTAGACTGGAACCCGCATCTGGGATGCCTTCGGCATTGTTTGAAATCACCGAGTTCTGTGGTCTCTGAGTAGCTTCCCTGGGCTCTCTGCCTCACCTTTGCCTCGTATTCCAAAAGACCATGCTTTTAAGGTCTCTCTCCTGCCCCCAAACCTTTGCTTGTTCTTCAATGCTAGGGGCTCTCTCTAGATTAATTATCTTAGCATTCAAGTCTCCTGACAGTCCTGCACAAAACTTACCTGTCTGTCAAGTACACCTAATTGTTATGTTTAGCCCATGCATGCTCTGGCTGTGCCTTGAACAGTGGGCAAGCTAAGGACAGGCAAAGACAGAGAGGGCTGTTGCAGGTTGTGTGGGAGAGAACATTTCTAGGGGGAACATAATGGGAGCAGAGGCCAGGGGACAGGTAAGCAAGGTTGCATGTGTGTGAAGCAGGAGCAGGCTACTGGGCTGCATGAAAGATGTGTATTGTAGAAGGTGAGGCTAGAGTATCATCCACAGCTGGACTGTTGGGACCATAAGTGCAGGTCTAGGATACCTGGCTCTTATTCAGTAGGTGAAGAAGAATCTACCAAAGTGGTTTGAAAGGAAAAGACATGGGCATCTGCATTCCCTGCTGGGCATCTTTCTCCTGGTTTTGCTCCAACCATCTCAGAGGTCATTCAGAGTAGATTCTAGATGTTCCCCTCCCTCTTCATGCCCCTCGTGGGCTCTGCAAGACCCAGCCTCACCTACCATCAGGAAGGTAATGTCTGCACACTCACACTGCTGAGACTGAAGACCCAAGAGAGGCACAGACTATGACCACAAGGTCTCAGCTTCTCCTGCTTGTCCACATAGATCTCTCAATGGTTTAGTTTCCTCAACTGTGAATTTGGGTTAATAGCACCTACTTTGGTGGGGTCCTATGTGGATTAAACAAGATAATGTAAGAAAAGTGCATAGCACCGGGTCTGGCATGAAGCCAGCCTCCAGGAGAGCCTTCTGCTCTGGGCTTCCCTTGGCCAGTCTTCCCTCTAGTATGTCCCACTCACAGACAGTGTGGTCTGAGGACACAAAGCAGCTATTCTCCCCTTGTTCAGGATTTGGGCATCGCCTGAGAGGTAAGCCGCCCCATTTCTGCCTTCAGGAAATCACAGGCAACCCATGAGCAGAACTGAGATGACTGGCAGTCCAGGTTTCTAGCTCATTCAGGAGCATGTAGAAGGATAGTTCCTTCCTTCCTCTGTGGCCCCAGTGGGTTTGCTAGGATAGCAGGGTGACGCAGAGGAAGACAGTCTGCATCTAGTGACATCTTGTGACAGCTCTGTGAGTCGCCGCTGGGGAACTTGGGCAGATTTCTCCACTCCTCTGATCCTATTTCTTCACTGAAGTTGGGCTGATGGGAGGGGTCAGTGAGAGAATACAGGAAAAGTGCTGCATATTGGCCAGCCCTGCCAGTGCCCACTGGGGATGGCCTCTTCCCCCATGGATTCCCCATGAGACCTGACTGAGGAGAGGAGCAGTCAGGATGGTCAAAGGCTCCTTCTTGATCGGGGCCTTGCTGTGATCTGGACCTCTGTGATGGGGAAGGAGTTCTGTGACACCCATGTGCCATGTGGCTGTCCATCTTGGGGCAGAGGCAGGGGCACCAGTTCCTTGGCTCTGTGCGAGGGAGGTTCTACAGAGAGTCTAAGCCCAGCACTGTCCAGTAGAAATATAATGTGAATCACATGTGTAAGTTCAAGTTTTCTAAGAGTCGCATTAAAAAGAGTTAAAAAAAAAAAAAAAGGTGGAGGGGCGCCTGGATGGCTCAGTCGTTAACTGTCTGCCTTCGGCTCAGGTCATGATCCCAGAGTCCTGGGATCAAGCCCTGCTTTGGGCTCCCTGCTAGGCGGGAAGCCTGCTTCTCCCTCTCCCACTCCCCCTGCTTGTGTTCCCTCTCTCGCTGTGTCTCTCTTTGTCAAATAAATAAATAAAATCTTAAAAAAAAAAAGGTGGAAATTTTATTGTATTTTATGTAAACCAGTATATCTAAAATATTGTTTCAATATGTAATCAATGTTAAAATATTATTTTATTTATTTATTTGGCAAAGACAGAGATAGCGAGAGCAGGAACACAAGCAGTGGAAGTGGGAGAGGGAGAAGCAGGCCTCCCCACCCCGAGGAGGGAGCCCGATGCGGGACTTGATCCCAGCACTCTGGGATCATGACCTGAGCCGAAGGCAGACACTTAACGACTGAGCCACCCAGGTGCCCAATGTAAAAGTATTATTAACGAGGGACTTTATGTTCTTTTTTCATATTCAGTCTTCAAAATCCTATGAGTATTTTACATGTAAAACAGTCTTAATTAGGACTAGCCACATTTAAAGTGCTCAATAACCATTCTGTGGCTAGTGGCTACCATATTGGACAGATCCAGCATCTAAGACCTGGCCTCTGGGAACAGAGCCATGCTGCCATCTGGTGGTGACACTACCAAATAGCAGCCCGAGCACCCACCCTGGGCCAGGTCCCGCAGGGCACCAAGGAAAAGTTACTGCTTCCCAACCTGGGGTGCCGTCAACCTAGTGTGACAGAAAAGGTGGCATAAAGAACCAAACTTCAGAGGCTACCCTGGGATTTTGAAAAACTGAGGATGATACTCAGCCAGAGAGGAGCGAAGGCTCTAGGAACAAGGAGTCATTTCACAGATGTGGAGATTAAGGGGAATGACCTGCTTGGGGTCATGTGATAAATAAGCAGCTGCCCTGAGGGGAGGAAATCCTTGACCAGGACACCAGCACCTCTCACCTGGACCATGGAAATTGCTAAAAAAAATTCTGTTCTTTTTTTTAAAGATTTTATTTATTTGAGGGGGGGTGGGATGGAGGAGGAGCAGAGGGAGAGGGACAAGCAGACTCCGCACTGAGTGCAGAGCTGATGGGGGTCTCAGTCCCACAACCCTGAGATCATGACCTGAGCTGAAACCAAGAGTTGGATGCTTAATGGACTGAGCTACCCAGGTGCCCCAATAGTTTCTTTTTAAAAAAATAAATAAGAATACATTCAATGATTCAAAATCCAAAATGTACAAAAGCAAAGAGTCTCCCTCCCATCCCCACCACTAACTACCCCATTCCCCTTTAGTGAGGCATCACAAACAATGCCATGATTACCCTGTGCACAAATTATACCACATGTGCAAGTATATCTGTAGAATGTTTCTTGAAATGGGATTACTGGGCCCAAGGATATGTGCATCTGATATGTGCATCTGTAATTTTGATAGCTAAGGAATAGCTTTAAAAAAACAGCTTTACTTAGATATAATTTACATACAATAAATTCATGATTTTTATTGTATAATTTGATGAGCTTTGAAAAAGGTATATAGTTGTGTAACCACAACCATAATCAGAATATAGAACATTTCTGTCTCCCCGTAAAGTCACCTTACGGCCCTTTGCAGTAAATCCCCTCACCACCACCCCCAGCTTCTGACAACTGCTGATGGTTTTCTGCTCTATAATGTGGCCTTTTCCAGAATATCTATAAATGGAATGATACAGAATGTAATCTTTTTTGTCCGGTTTCTTTCACTTAGCATATGGATTGTGTGATTCATCCAGGTTCTTAGGCATCATGTATCAAAGTTGTACTCTTTTTTATTGCTAATTTGTATTCTATTCTATGGGCATATCACAGTTTCTCCACTCACCAGTGGATGCACGTTTAGGTTGTTTCCAATTTGGGGCTATTATGAACATTCAAGTATAAAATCTTCAGTGCTCCTGGATAAATACATAAGAGTAGAATTCCTGGGTAATACAGTAAGTAAATATATAACTTTATGTAAGAAACTGGCATACTGTTTTCTTTAAGAGGTTTTTTTTTTTTTTTTTTTTGACAGAGAGAGAGAAAGCACAAGCAGGTTGAGCGGGAGAGGGAGAAGCAGACTCCCGCTGGGCAGGGAGCCCAATGTGGGACTCGATCCCAGGACCCCGGGATCATGGCCTGAGCTGAAGGCAGATGTTTCACCGACTGAGCCACCCAGGTGCCCCTGACATACTGTTTTCTAAAGTAACTCTACCATTTTGCTTTGCCACCAGCATTGAGAGCTCCAGTTACACAAATCCTTACCAACACTTGGTGCAGATGGTCTTTTTAATTTCGGCTATTCTAGTAGATGCATAGTGTTATCTCACTGTGGCTTAGATTGACATTTGACATGCTACACACTGTCCATGTACTTCTTTGCTGTTTGTATACATTCTTAGGGGAAGCACATTTTCAAATCTTCTGTCCATTTTTTTAAAGATTTTATTTATTTATTTGTCAGAGAGCGAGAGAGAGGGCACTAGCAGGGGGAGCGGCAGGCAGAGGGAGAAGCAGACTCCCCACTGAGCAAGGAGCCCGATGCAGACTCGCTCCCAGGACCCCGGGGTCACGACCCAAGCCAAAGGCAGCCACTTAACGGACGGAGCCATCCAGGCGTCCCCTTCTGCCCATTTTTTAATGGAGCTGCTTGTCTTCTTGAGCTATATCTTTATATATTCTTAGATACATATCCTTTGTCAGATATAAGCTTTGCAAGCATTTTCTGTCTGTGGTCTATTCATAATCTTATCAGTGTCTTTTGATGAACAAGTGTTTTTCATTTTGATGAAGTGCTTCTCTGGTCTTCCTCTCTGCTGTCCTTGGGCTGCTCCTGCTCTTGGCTTCATCACTATGGGGCAAGAAAACCTTTGTTCTGGTTCTCACTGTCTAAGGTGGAATTCTCCTGCATTGGTTCTGGGCTGTGGCTGTTGTCTGAGGCCATGTCTTCCATTAACTGCTTCTTGTCCTAGTCCTCTGTTTTCAGAGAGTTGTCACCTTTTTTGGTCAAGAGATAGTATTATCTTTGTTTTCAGGTTTTGTGTTATAATTTTAAAAACTGATAAAGTCATTGCCCAAAAACCATCAGGAACACACCTGTAGTCAAAGTCATATTTGTTACTCTGCAAAAGGGGAGCACAAAGACCATATGGAACTGTGTGGGGCATCTCAGAATGGGGTAGGGCGGGGGCTGCTATGGGATGTCTGGGGGCTGGAGTTGGGCATAGGATGGTATTGGTAGGGATTATTCAGAATTTATAAATTAGGGACTTAACTATAACAAATAGTGGTCTATTTTTTAGAATGTACAAGTCTCTTTAGGTTACTCTTGGGCTGGTTCATCTGTGGTTCTATCTTAGAACACATTTAGGTCTGTCAGAACAAACTGGTATTACAAGAGTTGTACAGAGTTAGTGATGGACATCATAGTTTTGGTTTGGTAGTTTGTTTTGTGAGTCAGTGTATGTTTTGCAAGCTATGCTTTCTTCATTTTTATCTATTATGGCACTCCTGTGGAGTTTTGATTACTGAAGTGCAGGGCTCAGGAATATAAGATTAAGACAATTTACAAAATAAGTGGTAAAGACCCAGAGCTTGGCAGGGGCTACTGGGGCGAGTGGATGGCTATTTGGAAAAAAATACATTCACACCTCTACTACCTGTATTCATGATTCATACCATATACAATGGATTATAAGTAGATAAAGTGTCTAAATGAATTAGAAGAAAATATGGGAGAATATTTTTATAACGTCAATGTGAGGAAGGTATGTCTAATAAAGACACAAAAGCTAGGACACACTTATACAACAAAAGTATAGAAATAGTAATATATAAACATGTATATAATACATATGTTATTTGTTGTTGCTGGTGCTTTTGGAATCACACCCATGAAATTGTTGCTAAATCCAATGTCACGAAGACTTTCCCCAGCATTTTTTCCAAAAGTTGTATCTTTTTAGTTGTTATGTTTAGATCTTTGATCTATTTTGAGTTAACATTTGTATATGGTATGAGGTAAGGATCCAATTTCATTCTTTTGTATGTGGATAGTTTTCCCAGCACGATTTGGAGAAAGTATTGTCCTTTCCCTATTGAATGGTCTTGGCACACCTGTCAAAAATCAATTGATTATATATGTGAAGGTCTATCTGGACTCTACTGTGTTCCATTTCAGTAATTTATATGTCTGTCCTTCTGCCAGTACCAAATGATTTAGTTACTGTAGCTTTGTAGCAAGTTTTGAAGTTGGGAAGTATGCAATCTTCAACTTAATTCTTATTCCTTTTAAGATTGTTTTGGTGGGGCGCCTGAGTGGCTCAGTCGTTAAGCGTCTGCCTTCGGCTCAGGTCATGATCCCAGAGTCCTGGGATCGAGCCCCGCATCGGGCTCCCTGCTCAGGGGGAAGCCTGCTTCTCCCTCTCCCACTCCCCCTGCTTGTGTTCCCTCTCTCGCTGTGTCTCTCTCTGTCAAATAAATAAAATCTTAAAAAAAAAAAAAAGATTGTTTTGGTTATTTGGGGCACCTTGTAATTCCATATGAATTTGAAGAACAACTTCTCATTCCTGCAAAAAAAAAAAGGCAGTTGAAATTTTTGTAGTAATTGCATTGAATCTCTAGATTGTTTTGAGTAGTACTGCCATCTTAATGATGTTATGTCTTCCAGTCCATGAATGTGGGATATTTTTCCATGTATTTAGGTCTTCTTTAATTTCTCCCAGCAATGTTGTGTAGTTTTCAGAGTATAAGTCTTTTACCTTCTTGGTTAGATTTATTCCTAAATATTTAATGCTTTTAGATGTTACTGAAAATTGAATTGCTTTCTTAATTCTTCTTTGATTGTTCATTGCTGGTATATAAAAACACAACTGATTTTTGTGGTTTTATTTTGTATACTACAAATTTGCTGAATTTGTTTATTAGGTGTACTAACTTTTTTGTGAATTATTTGGGATTTTGTGTAATAGGAACATGTCACTTTCTAAGAGAGGTAGTTTTACTTCTTCTTTTCCAATTTGAATGTCTTTCATTTCTTTTTCTTGTCTAGTAACTCCGACTAGAACTTCCAGCAGTGAAATGGGTGTTCCTATCTTATTCCTGATTTCAGGATGAAAACTTTTAGCCTTTACCATTGAATTTAATATCAGCTATGGGCTTTTCATAAATAACCTTTACCATGTTGAAGAATTTTCTCTTTACTCCTAGTTTTCTGAGTTTTTATCATGAAAAGGTGTTGGATTTTGCCAAATGCCTTTTCTATGTCAATTAAGATGATCATCTTTTTTTTCCTCCATTCTATCAGTGTGATATAGTACACTGATTTTCTTTTTTTAAATTTAAATTCAATTAGCCAAGTTATAGTACATCATTAATTTTTGATATAATGTTCAATGATTCATTAGTTGAATATAACACCCAGTGCTCATCATATCATATGCCCTCTTTAATTCCCATCATCCAGTTACCCCATCCCTCCACCCACCTCCCTTTCCGTACCCTTAGTTTGTTTCCCAGAGTCAAGAGTCTCATATGGTTTGTCTCCCTCAATGATTTCTTCCCATTCAGTTCGCCCCCCTACCCCTATTGTTCTCTGCACTATTCCTTATGTTCCACATATGAGTGAAACCATATGATAATTGTGTTTCTCTGATTGATTTATTTCACTTAGCATAATACCCTCCAGTTCCATCCATGTCAATGTAAATGGTAGCTATTCATCCTTTCTGATAGCTGAATAATATTCCATTGTATATGTGAACCACATCTTCTTTATTCATCCATTGAAGGACATCTCAACTCCTTCCACAGTTTGGCTATTGTGGATATTGCTGCTATGAACATTGGGGTGCAGGTGCCCCTTCTTTTCACTACTTGAAAAAATGCTCCACATTACTTGCCATCAGAGAACTACAAATCAAAACTACATGAGATACCACCTCACACCAGATGGCTAAAATTAACAAGACAGGAAACAACAAATGTTGGCAAGGATGTGTAGAAAAGGCAACCCCCTTACACTGTTGGTAGGAATGCAAGCTGGTACAGCCATTCTGAAAAACAGTATGGAAATTCCTCAGGACATTAAAAATAGAGCTACCTTATGACCCAGCAGTTGCACTACTGGGTATTTACCCCAAAGATATAGATGTACACTGAATTTCTTATGTGAACCATCCTTGCATTCCTGGGATAAAATTCCACTTGGTCATGGTGAATAATCTTTTAAAGATGCTATTGGAGGGGCGCCTGGGTGGCTCAGTTGGTTAAGCAACTGCCTTCAGCTCAGGTCATGATCCTGGGGTCCCAGGATCGAGTCCCGCATCGGGCTCCCTGCTCAGCAGGGAGTCTGCTTCTCCCTCTGACCCTCCCCCTTCTCATGTGCTCTCTCTCTCTCATTCTCTCTCTCAAATAGATAAATAGAATCTTAAAAAAAAATTTTTTTAAAGATGCTATTGGATTTAATCTGCTATTTTGTTGAGTATTTTTGCATCTGTATTCATGAAGAATATTGGCCTCTAGTTTTCTTTCTTTCTTCCTTCCTTCCTTCCTTTCTTTCTTTCTCTTTCTTTCTTCTTCCTTCCTTCTTTCTTTCTTTCTTTCTTTCTTTTCTTTTCTTTTTCTTTCTTTCTTTCTTTTCTTTTCTTTTCTTCTTTTCTTTTCTTTTCTTTTCTTTTCTTTTCCTTTCTTTCTTTCTTCCTTCCTTCCTTTCTTTCTTTCTTTCTTTCTTTCTTTCTTTCTTTCTTTCTTTCTTTCTTTCTTTCTTTCTTCTTTGTCTGGCTTTGGCACTAAAGTAATGCTGGCCTTGTGGAATGAAATAGGAAGTGTTCCCTCCTCTTCAGCTTTTGGGAAGAGTTTGAAAAGGATTGGTATTAATTCTTCTTTAAATGTTTCATAGAGTTCACCAGTGCAGCCAGCTTCTCCAGAACTTTTCTATGTTGGGAGATATGTGGTTACTGTTTCAATCTTCTTACTATTCTATGTCTGTTCAAATTTTCTTTCTTTCTGAGTCAGTTTATGTAATTTGTGTTTCAGGAGATTTGTCTATTCTAGGTTAATTTGGTGTACAGTTGTTCATAGTATCCACTTCTAATCCTCTCTGCAAGATTTTATCTGCAAGATTCATAATAATATGCCCACTTTTATTTCTGATTTTAGTTATTTGCATCTTCTCTCTCT